GGTCCACTGTCTCCTCCATAGATGGTCGAATCGCATGTCTTCTCCTCGTCAGCGACCTCCTGGACACTGCTAGCATACGCATTGGTTGTGAACTTGAGTGCTGCGTTCACGATATCGTTTGTTTCGTCTGCAGAGGTAGACGTCCGAAGTCAGTATATGTCTCACATGCCTCCGTAGTCAGAACTCACCTTTGTCGAGCCAAGTACACGCGGGGACGTATGGCTTTGAGCTGTCTTTGAGATTGCCTGCAGACTCCCTGCTGTTGTACCACCTCTCGCCACAGTGGCGGCCAATGTCGCCAGTCCAAGCCCCTCCATCCGTATCGTCAGCTTGGTTGACGCTGATCCAGGCGATGCAAGTGGCATCATCGTTGTTGGACACGCCAATGTACTCCGCTCGCCGACCCGAGCCTTGGTCTACGGTCACATCGCAGAAGCTGCCAGGATCAATCCCACAACCGCCTGCCTGCCCGCTGAAGCGATTGCCTTCGCCCCACGCGTACACTGCGGCGATCGACCCACCCTAGAGTCTTCTTAGTCTTCACCAGTCTTTTGGAGAGAATGTTGTGGGCGCAACTTACCAGACTTTCAGACTCTTCGCCCACTCCGTGAAGGCCGGCTAGAAAGTATACCCGATTAGCGGTGGAGTCTTCGATACTACTTTGAACTGTATCCTACCTTTGATCCTGATGCTTGGGCCTTGGGGCTTATTGTCGGGTAGTTGGGATTCGGTAAAGGATACGATTGTCAAAGCACCGCTGACAAGGCCAATTGCGTTGAAGAAGCCAGACATCTTGAGCTTGATGATGTTTTGCGCGTGTGAATATGATATTGATGAGTATTGAATGAGACTTGCAAGCAGTGATGGGGTCGGAGGCATATCAATATATAGGATTATTTCCAGAAGCGAGCAGTATCTGACGACGGATTTTGTCGACAACCCACGTGTGTCCGCATGCTGCCATGATGGTATCATGGTGCACGTAATCGCACGCAGCCAAGCGTATACCTGTAAGCATATTGATTGAAGTGGTACGAGGTTGACTGTGCCTCCGGCAAGCTCGGTGTATAATCACACATGGATTGGGCGATTACCCAGGTAACTGTTGAGTGAAATGTATTCCTGGCGCCTAAGTGCATAACAGAACTCCACGTGTTCGCTTCCAACGGATGAATAGCTCGGTTACAGCTCAACAGAAACGTATCTCAATGAATCCAAGACCTTGGAAATATTGGTTGTGGCGGGGTCAAGTCATGGGACGCGTGCTGTTGTGGTGTACACGAAGGTGTATAAGGATATCGTCTTCGAAGCGGCTGGTGCAGAGCATCAGTTCCGCAACATCTCAGCCAATTCCAGAAGTCAATTCCACAACCTTCACTTTCAATCAACATGAAACTCTCTATCAGCCTGGTTGGCATCTTCCTCACAAGTGCTTTCGCACTTTCGGTCAAACGACAGAACGGAGTCCCCGACTGTATCGACGGCGATAGATCCGGAGTGGGCGATTCATTTGGATCCAGTGAGTTCAAGCAGCCTAGCGTGGATCTTTACTATTCAGTGATATGATCTGACATGTACGCATAGAGCCTGACTGCGAGGACGAGTGTTTCATGCCTGAGCAGTCTGGGGATGGGGTCGAGCAGATCTGCCGAGGCTATTGCACCACGTTCCCAGTAGCCACTGGGCCACTGGTGTGGAACTGCATGGGCTCACAGTGAGGTTATTTGGATGAGTGTTCGAGCTTGGAGAAGCGTACGTAGTAGCATCTTCAACTGTGTCGAGCGGCAGATCAGTTTCGACGTAATTGCGTGTATGAAGGATTCCAGACCTTGAATCAACCCATTATCTTGACTCCGCTTTCATAATTCGTGTGTGACACTCTTACGGTACCTTGTACCCGCTCATACAGTACATCGGGCTAGCAAACGTCTCGGCATCTGCTTCCAAAGTATCCATCTGGACACGCTACCTAGCCAAGAAGCATCACCGGCATGCCATGCAGCATCGCCGATGCAGTGTAGTCAAGGATATACAGCGATCCTTACTTGGTGTGTTGATAAAGTCACAAGATATCGTCATATTGCCGATGGGTCTGTCACCAAGAAACATTGTGTCACCAAGATCGTCTTCCGCCAAGATCGTCCTCCGCCAGATGTTATCTTCTCGAGCTAGAATAGATGCGATAACTTCTTTATATTATGCCTGAGAAGCTTAATGCATGCAATGCGGCTACAGCCTGGGTAGTTTGACTAGAGTTGGTAACGTTGCATCTGCCACAAACGGACACAAAGTTGTTACTGGAGTACGAAGTAAGCCAAGATGGAAAGAGCGGCATGATTTATAGTTGAAGATCCTGCCCTTATATTAACAAGGGCATTATCCTTCCTATGGTCTACAGCCGAAATAATAGTTACACGGAGCCACTCTACAGTGAAAGGAATATGTTGAGTGCCGAGGTGTCTATTACTACTTAACTTCTATTGCATACCCAGGCAGGTACGACTTCGCCGGGGCACTCTACAGCACGAGTACCTACCTAGGTAGGTACGTATCTGGTTGGGTACCAATTCGAAGAGTCCGCAGTTAAGAGACAGATACTTAGATACTCTTCGTGATGAACGTTACAAGATGACGTCGGCCTTCGGCTGAAGCCGAAGGCTGTACATACGATCCGAGCCAACGGCAACGCTTGTGGGCGTGCCGGCCCGGTTATGCAGCGCGCGATATTAGTGGCTATTACACCTATTGGCACTTTCTCTTGGGCTTATCTTGGCCCTTTACCAAGATGGATAAGTCGGCAGGTGCCTTCAGTTTTATGCAGCTGGGGATAGAGCCGTCGGGCGTGATTAATTGGAAGGTGTGATTGGAGCTGCCAAGCCTCGTGACACAGCGCCTAGCGAACTGTGCCACATAAGCATCTTGGCCCGCGGGGCGAGCGGGAGCTTGGCGACCTCGGGATGCATTCCGTAGCTTGGCACCACGCCACATCATAGTGGACGGCACTAGAGCATTGCTGAAACGGGCATTCCAACTTAACCGGGCACCGTCCTACGGATATCGGCTCATGCATGATGCCCAGGTGTGGTTGCAATCTAATGAGCGGAGTATCTGGTGGATGAGGACGATTTTACCCGTGGACGCAGTCGACTTGGCAGACTGCAACCCTATTATGCTAGGCCTCCCCAAAGAAACATGGCATCTGGATGAGGGCTTCGGAGCTTCTCTACTCTCTGTTGCACAAACGTTCAGCTTGTTTGCAGGCTATCGTTTACTGATAACAACGCCCCGAAATCATCACGCGCACAAGACTACCTGGACATACATCGCCTGGGCATCCCTTCGCGATGCAGTTCCTAAATACCTGTAGACTGGCATCAGTCGCTCTACTGTTGTTTCCTTTCAAAGTACAAAGGTACGTGTCACCTACCGTCCGCATCTATTGAACTCGTCGACTTATTCTCCGCAGTGCCGCCAATTTGACCTTGCGCTTCTTCACGGAGAGCCAAGATGACACCTGCTCTTTCCGCAACAGCAGTGAAGCCCTGACGTTTACCTCATCGAGCATTCCCACCATGGATCATTGCTTCAACCTAGAAGATATCTTCGGCGGAAACACCACCCAAGGTTTCGTCAACCAAAGCGCCTACCCACCCTTCTCAGCCACGGCAGGCATCAACTGGTCCGTAGAGAACGCCGCATTATACAACGCCCAAGCGAACTACACCAATGTTCTCTACCACCTACACGTGCCAGGAGCCGAAGCAGCCGAACAGTACGCAGATCGCCGCGTGAACATTTACCCTGCTAAAGACTGTTACAACGCGGACCCGAACAGCGACGCCACCATGCCACCACTACTTCCCTGGTATGGCTACGACTGCGTCAGTGACAGAGATGGAAACTGCGGCACGATCGAGTATGATGTCCGCAGCTTCTACCTCCTACCAGGCACAAGGGAAAGGGATCAGTCAGGCCGATGTTTATTGTCTGCGAAATGGGGTGCTGCCTCGAGTATTTACTCGTCTTCTCGTGTCATTTTAGGCGCCGCTTTGAGCGCGTCTCTGGCCATCTGGTATGCCTGGTAGTCATGATAGTCCTGTGTTAGTTTTGTACTTGACAAGCAGTCGCCTACATGAACGCCTTTCGTTGAAATGTAGATCGTATCTAAAACTATTTATACCTGTACATGGACTATGAAATGTGTTCCAAACTATATCACATGTTTGCCGACGCTACCGTCACTAGCCACCTCATTAACAATACCACTTTTGAGTGTATCATCCTACCTTCTTCTTTCTCATCCTCTCCTTCCTCATGTATTGCCACACCCAACGACACGCAGTGTAAAACCCACACCTAGACCATCATGATAGGACCCCAAGATCTCATGAAATGCAGCGCCCCCGTACTCCGCAAGCACTGCATCAGCCAGCGAGCGACACCGCAGAGCCACATAGGCAGACAAGGGAGCACAGAACAGGACAAGCAAAGCAAACAGCACGGAGAAGATCGAACTGTGCGCAACTCCCGCAACTTCAACGCTCTCGTGAGACAAAGTGATGCTTAAAAGACAAGCGAATAGTGACAATAGAGGAAGCGGGACCATGACTGACACCATCTGAATGGACGGCCCAACAAGGTGCGCTCCACACTGTGACTACCCGACGTAACTGGAAAGTCACTATCGCCTCATGTGTACTGAAGATGGTGGGGCCCGCCCTTCCACGACCTCAGTGCAGAAGCGGCATGCCTTCAGCATGACAATATGATGTGGTCGGCGAAGCTGGTCTCGCCGCCCACATATACCAGAAACGTTCCAAGACACCATGTCTCACCTAGCAAGCACGCGAGCGAGGTTATCGGAGTGAGCAGCCACAAATATCATACCAAGTGCTACAGCCATCACATTCAGCGATCCCTCAATACACCAAGCTACACCCCCACACGTCTCATGCCCTGACCCCCTCCATCTCGAAACCACACCCGGAGGCAACATGCCCTCACCTCCTCCCACCACCAATATCCTGGCCCAACCTATACCCACTAATCTTCTCCCACTCAATCTTCTGCCTCGTAATCGGCAACTGCCTCCTGAGCGCCTTGAATGCGCCCTCACTCAGACTACCAAACGCCCTGTTCAGATCCTCCTGATACTTCTTCTCCTCGGCCGCAATCTTCCTCACAACCTCGCTTCCATTCGCACTGGCGCCTGCACTGAGACTAACCTCCTTGGTCGTAAGCAGACGCACGTTGCCGTCTTCGTAGTAGTGCACGTCGACTTTTATGCTGCCGGTGATGGAGCCGGAGGACGTGTCGTAGATGTAGGAGCTGCGCCAGCGGCCGTTCCAGTAGTTTGTGGGGGAGTACTTGTTTGCGACCGTGATGATGGCGAGGGAGGAAGGGGAGGAGGGCACGGGGTATACGCCGTGAGAAGACTTGGGGTAGTGTTCTGAGGCGTGGGTGCTGAGGGACTTGTTTAGGCTCTTGCTGTTGGGGTGAGGTTAGGTTAGGCTTTTATGCGGCATGGGTGTGGTGGTAGCCAATGGGTGTGCACGAGGGATGCGCGCGGGATTGGCTTGGCGAGGGAGGGGCGGGGCGGAACGTACAGGAGCTCTTCTTGTGCGCTTTCTACAACGTAGCTCTGCACTGCGCTGGCTTTGCCTGTGGCGTGGTCAAAGTCAAAGGAGCTTTGTGTGTCGATGTCGTAGTAGCGGCCGTCGCCTAATGAGTTGTACTGGCTGACTAGGACCTCGGTGCTGCCGCCGGGGAGCTTGGTTGTGGTGAATTGCTCCTCGTTGTACTTTTGGAAGGCGGGCGAGAGCTCGTTCTGGACGGCGTCGTCGCCGAGGATTGACTTGATTGCCTTGGTGACATCGGCGAGCTGTGGTGCTGTTAGCAGGTGTACCGGTGGGAGGGGAGCTCTGTTTTGGTGGGGGAAGTACCTCGCCAGGCGGCGCGCTGTCGATGAAGGAGGAGAGAGCTGCTGTGCGTGACATAGCTGCGATTTGGCTATGTAGCAGAGGGCGGGTATGCTTCTGTGGTTGTCTCAATTGTTTGGCGCGTCGTGGAGTTGCGGGCGGACGTCGAGGCGCGCAGCCGCTTAGTGGGGCAAGGGCCAGCAGGGCGAACAGGGGTCAAACATCCATGTGCCCATAGTCGATTGCGGAGGAAGCTACATCAACATTGCAGTACACGCAGACGATATGCGTAGTTCTTGTTTCATATTTGAATTGGGAAATTGACAATGGGTATCTATATATATCGAGCAACCATCGTTGGCCTCATTAATCCTGGAACGCCGCGCTAAGCCTTGATCAATGCTAATATTATCTTACAAGAAGTCACATGGCCATCACTCGATGCTCATCTTCATCAAGCCGTCGTTGGTATCTGTCATGCCCTGCAGACCTATCCGCTTTGGGCCCAGTGTCGGCGTCATGCTCATGCTGCCTCCACTGTTTGATCGCTCACCGTGTGACTGACCGCTGATCGATGTCTCTCGACTGGCTTTAGCATTCGTGCCCCAAAGACTGCTGTCTCTCTGTGCGGGCGACTGCGAGATGACCGGGCTGTTGTGAACACTGAGTCCTGGCGAGACTGCACGTCGTTTGATTGAGGCTTCGTCAAAGTCATCGTCTCGTCGGCGTTTGTTCGACTTTTTCAAGGCCTCAGCTGCTGTGGGGGGCTGCATGGGACCTGGTGTAGATGCTCGGGATGCTCCACCATTCATTGAAGGCGAGTCCATGTTCATGTCCTCGCTCATTGCGGATGATTCTGCGCGAGGGAAGGATGGCGGTGGAGTGTGTGCGGCGCGTTGGTTCCAGAAGCCGTTGCTTATCGAGTTGCGACCACTGTGAAGACTACCAAATGCACCGAAAAGTCCCTTAGACGTTGATCCGTCCAGACTCATGTTACTCTCGCTGCCCTCTTCTGGCACACCCTCGAGCGGACCGTCCAGTCCTGGTACTGTGGGTAGTAGATTGGGCGATGATTGCGCTGTATTAGAGGGCCGCTCCAGATCCGTGTCGCTCTCTCTCACTTGTCGGATGATCTCGGCTTCGCGGCGGAACTCGCTATCAACAGGTGCAGCTTCTTCGAATAGCTCCGCTCGGATGCGACCGAATTGCCTCGATTTGGGCTAGTAAAGTTAGCATCTGATGTCTGCGTGACAAGGGAAGTACACACCAGTAGATTGCCTCTCCGTGTGACAACCCGCCTCACCACACCTGGAGTCTGTGGCAGATTCCCGCCCTCATCTCCGCTGTCATTACCAGACGAGATGTGAAGGTCGTTGGCAAAGAGCGACAGGCTCTCTCGTCGTGATCCCGCTTTTCGCATAGCCGCTTCTCGCGCAAAGTAACCCGTGTCTTTGCCGTTTGGCGGCGATGCTGGCCCAGGGCTTGCCATGGAGCTGTGTCCGCTGGCTGAGCTGGAGCTCTTCCGGCTGCGACCCTTGCGCAACCTTGCCCTATGCATGCTCGCAAAGTTGGGCTGTCCACCAGGCGAGAACAAGTTCGACCACGCGTTACCGGTATTGAGTCCTGGGAAGAGAGTGTTGGTCTTCGCCTGCGGGGTCATGATCATGGGGTCGTCGTTGTCCTCAGGGTCTAGTGGATCCACCTCGTCCGAAGAGCTACTAGAGTCCTCTGAGCCCATCATGTTGATGCTACCGACGGAGCTGGACGGAGCTGTTCTATCGCCATGGCTCCAGCCCCCTTGCATGCTCACATTGGGCGAGTCGAGCAGCATCGAGTTGGAGCGAGGCTTCCGCGGCGGTATCTTGATGCCCTTCTGCGTGATGGTCGGCGAGGAATCCGGCGAGGATTGGTCGGGGAGGGTCGAGTGGTGGAGGTTGGTGCAGGCTCTCGAGAACTCGGCACCGCGCGACCGTCGGGGCAGCACAGAGGCAGGCGACGCGTACGTGTTGCGCGAATCTAGCTGGGGCGAGAGGGGCACACGGGCAGCGAAGTGGGCGGGACTGGGCATGGGCGACTCTCGCGCAGGCATTTGCAGCGACAGGCCTCGCGAGAGGAAGTCGGGTCGACGCGGTGTGCTGGGGCTGGCGACGATGGTCTGATCATCTTTGGACATGCGAGCGGGTTCGCGGAACTTCGGAGAGGGCTCAAGACGGGGCGTGCTGTCCGAGAGCGACCGTGCTTTGGGCGAATTCGTCTTTGACGGCGTTGTCGCCAGTTGAGGTTGCGACTCCATCATGGCTCCCTCGCCCTGTTCGGCGGTACTGCGCTCGCTACCGATGTCTGGCGTCATCGTCAACATTGAGGTGGAAGGTTGATATCACAGGAAGCGACCTGAAACGCATTCTCTCAGCAGCGCGCTGTGATCAGAGTCAATTTGTCGGGACTGGTGAATGGCCCGTCCGTTGAACGTCAATGTCACGAAGCGGGGCCTCTCGTCACGTGCAAGCCACCGTCATGGGTGAACCATGCTGTGAGGCTTTACCTACAACCACGCCCTTTGAACATCTCTGAAATTGTAACTTTTGTAGCACAAGCTGTTTGCGCCAACTGTAGTATTATACGAAACGTATTAACAACTTCCATACGCCTTCGGTATGATGTTGATCATGACGCGTAGGTCACCCATAGATCACCCGTGCCTTCGTACCCCTGAACACTCTTTTCATGCTATTGCTAAGAGTCCACAATTCCTTGCACCCACTCAATGTCCTCCCAAGTTGCTTCCCAGATGTTGAGGACTGTCATTGTCCATTCTTTATCCTCGCGCTTCATGGTGCCAATGCAGCGGCAGATCCGCCCTTGCTGTAACAGTCTTCTGCTGTCGTACTCGAAGAGCTGCACGGACTTCCAGATAGCAGCATTGTACACTGCCTTGATATAGGGTGGTTTGGCGTGGAAGAGGTCGCAGAAAGTGAACTGCTGCTCTGTTTCAGTCCGGTCCGACGCGAGCACTCTGGCATACATCTCAATCATGATGTGCTTCCCTGATTTGGATGCCTGACAGCTTTGGTTGATCACTTCACCGATACGGAAACATGTTCTGAGCAGTAGGTTTGACGAGAGCCCGATGATGGGTGAGCGATCACGGACAGCCTCTGGAAATGGTGGCCTGACAAATGGTTTGCGTATTTTCGATGAACCTAGATCGCCAGTTGCGGCTTGCAGGCGCGTCGTGAGAGTGACCGGGGAAGTGAACTGCTTTGACACGGGCTGATAGGTCTTCTTGTTAGGACTTCTTTCATCAAGTATGATAGGGGCATCCGCAGAGGTGCCGGGAGGGTGATGCAGTCTGTCATCGCCCTTGTCCCTGGGCTGCACAGAGCGGTTCAAAGCAGGATTTGCAAGGTCAGGACATGTGTCGTCAATCTCGGATGTCAATGTGAGCAGGTCGTCATCGTTGATGTCAAAGTCGAAGTCGTCTTGCGTAAGCATCGAGTTCTCAATCTGATGTGGTACCAGGGACGCATCAACTTGTTCAGGTTCACTGGTATCAAAGTCGTTATCGTCGAAATCAAATTCGCAGAGTGCGGTCGGATGCTGCACAGGCAATGTAGCTACTGTATCCTGGCTAACATTTCGTATGGTTTCAGGACTCGCGAAACCATGATCTGTCACATTGCAGGCTTGACTGATACCGTCCTGGTGTGAAACCGCCGTTCCGTTGCCGGTTGTTGTCGATCGTTGGGTTTGCGCATCGTCAACAAATATGGACTGCGTTCTCGTCGACAGCCGAGCCTTAGATCTAGAGGTCGCGGAATTGCGTGTAGATTTTGTTACCCGAAAGCTCTCCGATACTCGATGTTGTTCGGGAAGTCCGTTTCCTTCCAGATTCACGCGTCTGTCATCTGGTTTGTTCCCTTGAGCGGCCAACCGAGGTCGCTTGCGTCGAGGTTTCGGAGGCGGGCTACTCGGTACTGCCGGCGAAGGAGCACGTATTTCGAGATGCGTTGGCTCGTCCGCGCCACCAAGACCAAGATAGCGCGCAACAGTAGAATTGTGTCGCCGTCGCTCGTGCACGGCAGCTCTCCGGCGCGCCTGGTTCTGCTGCACGGGTGCCGCGGTTGACGAGGGAGGCGTCGAAAACTGCGTCGAGGGCTGATTGATGGCCGTGAAACTAGAAGTTGACGAGCGAATGTGAGTGCATCTGCATACTTCAGGTTAGTTCAAGCGATATGAGATAAAAGCAACGTGTGGTGAGAGAGGGTGAGTGAGCGCGCGTCAGGTCTCTCACGCGTCATCACCAGTTCGTTCTCTCGTTGTCCCCGTGTCCCCATCGTGATGCAGCGCGTTCGATGCATCCATGCTGACTCTATGCGTGAAGCGACACGATATGGAAGCGGAGTGAGAGATGAGGTGAAGAGGGTTGGTGTGGTGGGTCGCGACTTCCATGGTCCCTTACTCAGCCCAAAGCCACCCCACTGCGGGGGGCTTGCGCCCGACCAAGCAACCATAGCTTCATCTTATCGCGTGCGCATAGGCAACCATTACTACTTAGACTTCCGCTACGAAGCTCTGCCACCAGCTCTGACATCTCTTCCTGCAAACCTTGCACCTCTCGTCAACACATGTTCCGTTGAACCCCGAGTGTTCTATTCTTATCTGTAACACCGGCTCTCTCCTTCCAGACCGACCCTCCGACCTTTCTCAGACCGTGGTGCAAACACCAGACCCTGATTCTGTCCAGATTCGTTCTGACAGCCAAGCAAACATCCTGTTCGGGGTGTTTTCTTTTTCTCGCCTCCCAAATATAGCAGGTCTTACCCTGAAGGGTCAAACAAAGCGACAAACGTACGATGCCTGTAAGTTCTTCTTCAGAATCGTTTCTCCTTAAGAGCGTTCAAATACCATGTTCTCTTCCGCAGCAGCCCCGTTTCATTCATCCTTCAAATTACCATTCCTACCATAGTCATGATTTCCCACGCTTCTTGGTACGACGGACAACCGCTTCTTTACGGAGAGACGCTTCGTAGAACATCTTCTTCGTATAGCAGTGCATCTTCTGAATTGCAAGCACTTCC